AAAAGACTACAGTAATGTAAATTTGTATACATTTTGACGTATAGATGTCACTTTGAATAGGTACTGAAAATGACTTATAGATTTCGCTGCATGTAAATATTTTTCTTGATATATCTTTTTCCTAATAGATGACTCTGTTCCGTATTCCTTTGAAATTCAAGTATACAAATCTTGATTATAATTTCCTAACTCGAAAATTAAATAAATTAAATAAAATTAAATCAAAATTTGAATCACACAATTTTCACAAACTGATGTCAAAGTGCGTAAAGTATACGTTCTTTTGATTCAAAGGTTTTGATTCCATGTATATGTACATACTTATATTTTATTTTTTATTGAACCCATGAGGTTAATATGGAATAAAAGTCAAAAGGCACTCATAAAATCACTATTAAAAAATTAGTGGAAACTCAGAACAACTGAAAACAAGGTTGACTTAAAATGATGAATTACGGTTGATTACTGCTATTTTTAAAAACACATTACTACATGCACAGCTTAACCCCATTTGCCATCTATAATATTTTAAAGTTTTAATTTAAAATCTTTTTATCAATCTTTTTTCATTACTTTAAAATAACTATGGGGAGGTCCAGCCAACTTAAATGCTTTAATAAATTGCAGGGCTTAGTTAGCTATCGCTCCAGAGCTCCACTGAACGGTTCACAGCACTTTATTTTTGCTTTAAAAAAATACGAGTTTCTTTATTTTTAAGTTTTAAATAAGTAAAAGCGTTTCAGTCGAAGTATAACCTGCACCTCAGTAATCTGGGTTTAAAATTTTTAATTTTTGAAATATCTAGAGTTACCTTTCATTGATATATACCAAGTATTCGAACCTGACAGACCCCTATATAGAAACTACACGGATATGTCTGACCTATAATTGGACATACAACTGTCAAGTTTCAAAAACCTAACATTATTACTTTCCCAAATAATTATAATTAGCTTTCGGAGTTTTTATGGTAGCTACCCGAATCTGTCAAGTCATCTCAGTGGTATATGTAAAACTTCAGGGGCATATGTAACCTGTAATTGGACATACGACTGCCAAATTTTATGAATCTAACTTTATTATTTTTCCAAATATTTAAAATTAACTTGTAGAGTTGTATGACAGCTACCCGAACCAGTGCAGCCATTCCATTAAAATTCTCAGAATATATGTAAACTGTAATTAGACACAGTTTTGGAAATTTTGATATTAATATCTTTATTAGTTTTTGAAATATTTAAAAAATCTCTTTGAGTTGTATGACAGCTACCCGAACCCGTTGTCCGAATTGGCCTAATTACAATAGCAGCCGCCGTTGGCAGAAAAGAAACAACCTGTAAAGATTGGTGTCGATTGCATTATTCGTTTTTGAGTTATCGTGCGATCAGACGGACATGGCCAAATCAACGCAGAATTTTACGCTGAGCAAGAATTTATATACATGTCCATTTCGGAGATGACTCCTTCAAGTGTTTCAAACTCCGTACCAAAGTAAATATACCCATAATGAAGATGCAGGGTATAAAAAGTTATTTAATAATACAAACTACAATTTAAATAAACTGTATTACAAAATGTAAACTATGTTTTTAGAGTCTTACATAAACTTATATACATACATATATGATACCTAAATGTCAAAGTTCAACTAATGATACATACTTTTTTGTTTCAAAATTTTTAAATCAGTACTAAATTTTATATGTATTTGCAAAATGTATTTGCAAATACATATTATTGAAAATGAAATACATTATTTCATACATGGAAAAATTTGATCAATCAATTTAACATAGACTACCAAAATCTGCTGTTCAATTAAAAAATTGAAAAAAATTCTTTTGCAATTTTTAGTTTCAGAAAAATTTTAAATTGTACACAAAACTTAAATCAAGAAAACTTCCATTCAGGGAATGTAGATTTAAGACAGTATATGACATTTTTTTCATCAAATTGAAACAAATAACAGAGGCATCTAGCATATAAAAGACTGAAGTTCTTACAAAATTTGTATAAGTTGCATTTTAGCTCTAAATCTACTCATAGATGTCGCTTATATAGACACTTATGTTTGATAGATATTTCCTTTTGAAACCCAATGATATTCGGAAATCTAATAAAATTTGTCAATTTCAAATTTAATAATTAGAATAATAATAATAATTTATTGTTATTCTAAATTTAACTTAGGTATTTTAGGTAACTTAGATATTTCTTTTTGAAACCCAATGATATTCGGAAATCTGATAAAATTTTTCAATTTCAAATTTAATAATTAGAGTAATAATAATAATTTATTGTTATTCCAAATTTAACTTAGGTATTTTAGGTATATAACAAAGCTTTGTACCGTGAATGTGTTTTTTTTTTTTCACAAAAAAGTTTTTGACAAATCGTGAATTGTACAACTTTGACGTGAAAAAAAATAAAACCTTTTGACAAATTCCATTCATAAATTTCATTAGACAGTTTTTTTCCATTAAATTTTTTTACAATCAATTTCTTCTAATTAAATGCCGCGATGAGTTATGACCTTTGCAGATTTATGCCAAATTTTATAGCTAGTCGAACCGCAGGGTTATATATTGATTGCAAGATCATCGCCTCCCTGATTTAAATATGTCAAATTTAAAGAGTATATAAATGTGTGTTAAATCTAAAAAAATTCCTAAAAGAATATTTTGTTTCTTTTCTTTTTTCTAGTCAACTGTTGTTCGATAAAAATTTAAACGTACCCTGATAAGCAATATAAGAAAATAAAATATTTATTCTATAGATAACTTCATACATTATGGAAACAAAAATTCGCATGAGCACTCTTTAGGCACCCTTATGTCTTAGACAAAAAAATTGGATGTAAAAAATTGATTATTTATAATGTAACACTTTGCAAGAGATGCATCAGAAAATTAAGTTCGTTTTGATGTAGCATTTACACATCGATTTAATTTGATAGGATGGAAATTTGACGAACATCGATGTGTAAACGTCCAATCAAATTAAGTAAAATCGAACAAGAAAAATGGAGTCGTTCCAATTCTTATCAAACGTTTTTGACAGAAATAAAAAAATGAAAATGACGGAAATAAATTTTTCTCGTTATGTGCATTGTGACCAGGTGTTATTTTTTCATCAACTGTTTATTGTGGTCAACATCGTTTAAAAATTATTTTTTATAAAGTATTTGAAAAATTTAAAAATGTCTCAAAAAAAAAATATAGTTGGTGACAATTTAACTCGATTGAGGTATTAAATCTAAAGATTATAAAAATGTTTAAGAAAAGCAAAAACCATATAAGGAATTGGGGTAGGAATTTGGAATAACAAATGAAGAATAAAAGAAGAAAATTAATAGATTAAGGACCACAAACAAACGTGAGTACAAAAAGGTAAGAACTAAGTATAAACAATTATCCGTTTTTGCTTTTTTGAAATTTCGTTTATTTTTTCTTTGCAAATAAATTACTAATACTTTGACAAACGCATAGATATACCTCGATTAAATAAGAAAAAAATTAATTTGACAGCACATTTGATAAAAAAAAGTTCGATATGTAAACAGAATTTCTCATCCAATTTCATTGTTGTCAATTTTTGCTTGCTATTATATTTTATATGAAGTATTTTTTTATAAAAATCAAATATCGAGAAAAATTTACAATAAATTTCAATTTAAATTGATATTTTATTTTCAAAGGCGGGCGAAATTCTTTTAGAAAAAAAATATTTTGTAAGCGAAATAATAACGTGATCGTATTTTCCACAAATATTTCAATTTTTTCCCTTCACACTATAACGTATTCTTAAAAACCAAAATATCGCACAATGTGATCGTATCGAAAAAGCTCTAATTAATTGTATTCACACAACGACTTTGCAGCAGTGGTTGATAGTTTGATACACGTTTTATTCCCAACAAAATTTTTTGACATATGAAACAATGATGCAAAAGTTATCATATAAACATAGGTAATCAATTGCCATTTGCGGTTTTCAGTCTAATAGAATCTTGGCAGTTTGAAATGTAAGTAAATAAGAAAAAATTTATTATGATTGAAGTAATAAGTATCAATTCAACTTTTAAACCGCAATGAATTAAGTATGACTAAATTTTAGAATTTAAAATATTCCTTAAGGTATTTATAGTGCTAGAAGGTCGAGTTCAATTTCAAGCATAAAAGCTTCCGCAAATTCTTTAATGTCAAAATTTTGTTTTCAGTCTGCAAACTGTCTGATGTATAAAACTTTTACGGACAGAAATGTAGTAAGCTTTTTACCCATAATTGACTTTGAATTTTAATTATCCGTAAACGTCAAAAAAAAAAAAATTTTTTTTTAGATTTAAAATAATTTTATACTTACATATTAAAAATTAACAAAAAAAATATTTTTTATATTATTTTTAACGTAATGATAGTCACTCAATACATCAAATTTATTTACTGAATTACTACGTGAGCCTGTCTGCATGTAAAAAAAAAAATCTACAATTTTGACGCTTAATTGACTTTATTTAAAGGTTAAAGAATTTAAACTTTGACTGAAAGTAAAAACGCAGTAGAGTATTCGAAAACTCAGACAACTCAGATTTTGTAAAATTTGACGTTTAAGAATTTAACACTTCTTTCTTTTAACATATACCTCGTTTATATGGCAGCTTCAAGCTTACTTGAAGCCTATTTTATGTACATATAAACACTGCTTGACTTGAAATCGGCTTCACTCAAGTCAATCAAAAAATTTTGCCTACTTGACTTGAAATGTTGAAGTAAAAACACCGCTTGAAAGCTTGAGAGCTTGAAAATGACAGAATTTAATTTTTTGTCCTAAAATGACAGTAGAAATAGAGTGCTTTATGAATTTGAAACTATTAAGTGTCAATACAAATGAAAGGTAAGTTAATTTTTGAACATATGTACATGATATTTTGTATTTTTATTTTGATATTTATTATTATAAACTTATAATTTTTTGTAGAATATGTCGAAAAGAAATATTTGGAGCAATGAAAAAAATATCGCAACAGCGAAATCTACGGAATGGTAGAAAACTGTTTAAAAAATAAAAAAATTGAAAATAAAAGCGCCAAACAAATTGAAATTAGGTGGAAAAATTTAAAATATATGTACATAAACATTAAAAAAGAAAAAAACAAAAGTGGAAATAGTGCTAACGACTTTCTGTTTTTCGAGGAAATGGACGAGCTGATGGGTATGAGACCCTCAATAACAACATTGGAAACAGGAGTAGATACTTCTTGCGGTAGAATTTTGGAGATTACATACAGATATATTAAATACTTATACTATTTGCATTTTCAGATGTAGTAACTCCCTCAACAAATGACTCCTCTAACACAAATATAAACCAAGAAGATTCGGATGAGCTGCAGCCGTTACCAAGTCCAAGTGGTTTGTTTTATATAATACAAATACATATATTAGTGTAAAATATTATGAATATGAAAATTCATTAAATATAATACTTTTCAGGTTTACAAAATAATTCCAAACGTAAACGAAAATCAACATCTGATGGGTTGTTAGAAAAAATTAATAAAATGCAGAAAGATATCAATGAAGATTTTCTGAAGAAACAAAAAGAACTTATAGACTATGAATACAAATTATATTCACAGCAAGAAAAGGAAAGTCACATGCAAATGAAAAGTTTGCTAAAGGAAAGCAGTGATAATTTCTTGTGTGCAATCAAAGATATTTTCAATGATAATCGTAGCATAGATACTATAAATTTAGATAGCAATAAGGAAAATAATAAAAGTGATAATCATAGCGTAGAGACTATAAATTTAATTACAAAAAAGGAAAACATTGAAACGAGTAATTATAATACAGAGACTATAAATTTAAGTGAATATGAGGAAAATATTAAAAATAGTTTAAGTTCATATTTCCAAGGATGGATAGACTAATAAATAATAAGAAATATGTTTTTTTTTTTACAAAATGAATTGATCTTTATTTTTGGTTAGCATTATGTTTTTTTTTTTTTTGGTTTTCAAATTTTAGTGGAAATGTTAAAAAATGCCATGTTTTATTTCATTAAACGTTTTAAAAATATTAACAAAGATGTATTTTTTTATTATTTTATACTTTTCAAAATAGGTAAATTGTTTTTCACGTAATCCTTTATGTGTTCTCGTACAAGTGTACCTTCTAAAGTTGCTTGTCCAACGAAATTCTCCGGCTGCTCGTAAACTATTAGTGAATTACAAGAGCTAGTTTCCTGCCATGCTTGGTTAAAAGACACTTTTCTTTTTTTCTAAAATATTATGCAGCATACAACATGTGGCAACTACTTTAGGCACATAATCCACATTGACATCAATTCTTTTTTGGAGAATTCGCCATCTGCTTTTCAATCTTCCAAAGGCATTTTCTACCACTATTCTCGCCTTGTTTAGATAAACATTAAAAGATTCTTCTTCTTCATTACAGTGGCCTGGAAAATTTTTCAATATCCATGGCAAAAGTGGATACGCAGGATCTCCAATTAAAAACGGCCTTATAATGTTGTTGTCAAAATTTCAACCGGCTAAAATTTATTATAAATTAATTGATAACTAAAATTAATATTTATGAATACGCACTAGATCCAGATTTCCATATTTAGAGTACAGGAAGGAATCCTTCAAAACAGTTGCGTCGTGTGTACATCCTGGATGTTTACATGTTATATCTCGGAACCTACATAGAAAAAAAAATACCTTAATTCGGTTTTACATTGAATGTTACAAACTTACAAATATTTACTATCCACAACTGCTTGTAATATTAAAGATGGCCAACCTTTTCTATTTATGTAGTCTCTATATCCTTCCTGTTTCGGAGTTATTGGAATATGTGTTCCGTCAATTGCTCCTAGCACTTGAGGAATACCAGATTTTTCTTTAAAATTTTTTATTACTTCTTCGGCTTCCTCATTTTCTGGCATATAAATTTCTTCTTTGATATAGGTTAGCATAGCATCACAAAATTCATAAAGACACTTTTTGACAGTGCTTTTATGTACACCAAATTGATTGCCAACAACTCTGTATTCGGCAGAAGAAGCAAGTTTATAAATACTAATTGCAACCTTGCATTTAGTTGATAAGGATTCCCGTACATGAAGTGGATGAGGCTTTAATTTTTCGTCTAATTTTTCACATATAAAATTGAAGGTTTCTTTATCCATTCGGAAGTTTTCAAATATTTCCGAATAATTATCTGAAGCAAAAATGTTATTCCACCAATCTTTCGACCGTGTCTTCATCCATAATTTTCTGCTTCTTTTCTGAGAATTTTGTATAATTTCAATATTTTTCTTCATGTTATCACTATGTATGTCTTTTAAAATTGATATTTATTCTATTTTTTAATCTTCTTAAAAATTTCACTCTATTTCTATTATTTTTTTTTATAAAAACTTTGATTATATTTTCCTGATGGATTTTATAATTTTCCATGCACTTTATTACGAGTTTTTGTTTGTTTTTACAATCCATATTTTCTAATATTAATTACAACTTCTTTTTTTTTGAATTACTTTGTTTTCTATTACTTCAAAGACTGTCAAACTCAAGCTGATTTCAAGCTAAATGTCATTTTCAAGCTTTGAAGCTGACATATTAAAAACGCTGCTTGAGTTTCAAGCTGATTTCAAGTCAAGTACTCAAGCTGCCATATAAACGAGGTAATAGTTCGCCGTTCTTTAAAGTCGTAAAAACGTCAGCCCTGATACGGAATGAAGAAAAGTAAAACATTTTCGTTTTACCAAAAATAGGAATGAAGTGTAGCATTTAGGCAAAGGAAGATAATTTTGCTTAAGTTTCTTGACTTTCATTTCTAAAATATGTACAAAATAAAAGAATAAATCAATAATTTTATAAATTAATAAACAAAGTAATAAAGTAAAAATTAAATTTCAAGAAACAAAAATTGACAATATTAGATCACTCAAAATAAAAGTTACAAGAAAATCACAAAAGTATTTATGCAATTTACTATATGAATGTATATGATTCCCGATCGCAATAAATTTGTTTCAAACATTAACTAAAGTAGAAAAACTAACAGCCGAAGAAGATGGAAGTACTGGATGAGAACACATGCAATCTTTAAACTGATGCAATAGTAAGCTTTTTTTACTCACAATTCACATTTTTACATACTTTTTTTTTTTTTTTTCAAAAATTCCCTAAAAATACTCTTGCCGGAATAAATTTCACTTTAGTTTTTGTTTGACTGCCGGCTAGCTTGTTAGAATTTAAAATAATTTTTTAAGATAATAAATATTTATTTAGCACAAATACAATATTCGTTCAAGGATAATACATAACTTATAAATATAATAAATAAAATTTTATAGTATAAAAAATATGTGTGGCATATTTGCGATATTTTCAAAAACTGGTGGTCCAATAGGATCTAAAAGATATTTCAAAAATTTTCAATCATTACGTGAAATTGCTTACCAACAAAGTGGAAAGCAGCGGAAACATCGTGGTCCAGATGATACTGGATTGGAGTTAATTCAAGATCACGGAGTTTGTTTAGTTCATGAACGACGTGGTATTGTTGGTTTTCGTACTGGTCATCAACCTTTAGTCTCTGCAGATGGGACAGTATTAGTAGTAGCAAATGGTGAAATTTATAATTACTTAGAACAATCAGCAGAAATCGCTAAGAAACGTGGACGTTATGATCCAAAATCCGACTGCAGTGTAATTGTGGAGTTATATGAAGAATATGGTGAAGATTTGTTTGATTATTTAAGTGGTATGTACGCTTTTGCTTTATATGACAAAAAAACGAAAAATGTAATGTTAGCTCGTGATCCTATTGGAATTATTCCATTGTATTATGGATATGATAAAGATGGAAATTTATTTGCTGCAAGTGAAATGAAATGTTTAATTGGTGTATGTGAGAAAATAGAAAATTTTCCACCAGGTATGATGTATTATGGAAAAGCTGACAAAATGGAATTTAAATGTCATTTCAAAGAAAAGTGGATTACAGAAATTCCTAAAGAACCAGCAAATTTGGTAATGTTAAAACAAAAATTAGAATCAGCTGTTAGAACACATTTACATTGTGATGTTGAGTTGGGAGCATTACTATCTGGGGGTGTTGATTCTAGTTTAATAGCATCAATTGCAACGAAAATTATGCGTGAAAAGGATAAAAATTTTAAATTGCGTACTTTTTCAGTTGGACTAGAAGGTGCACCAGATTTCAAATATAGTAAAATGGTAGCAGAACACATACAAAGTGATCATACCGAATTAGTTTTTACTGTTGAAGAAGGCTTAGATTGTATTCGTGATATTATTTATCATTTAGAAACTTATGACATTACAACTGTGCGTTGTAGTATACCAATGTATTTACTAACACGAAGAATAAAATCTGAAAATATTCGTATGATACTATCTGGGGAAGGTGCCGATGAATTATTTGGAGGATATTTGTATTTTTTCAAGGCACCAACAACAGAAGATTTTCATAAAGAGTTAGTCAAACGTGTTTTAAATTTGTATCATTCCGATTGTTTGCGAGCCAATAAAGTGTCTATGGCATGGGCAGTTGAATTACGTGTACCATTTTTAGATAGAGATTTTCTTAATTATGTTATGTCAATACGCCCTGAAGACAAGATTCCTGGAGATTTAAATTGTTATACAGATAAAAAACAACATCGCATTGAAAAATATATTTTAAGAGAAGCATTTAGTGATGAAGATTATTTGCCAAATACAGTATTATGGAGGCAAAAAGAACAATTTTCTGATGGAGTTGGCTATAATTGGATTGATACAATTAAAGAATATGCCGCTAGTCATATAACAGATGAAGAATTTGATATGAGAACAAAATTATATCCAATTAACACACCAGAAACGAAAGAAGCATTCTATTATAGGCAAGTTTTTGAGGAAATGTTCCCAGGAGATTATCCAGCTAAAACAGTTATGAAATGGATACCCAGAACCGATTGGGGATGTTCGTCAGATCCATCTGGTAGGGCACAAGCAAGTCATCAAGCTCATAAGTAACTTAATTTTTATAAAATTCAATTTTAGGTTTAGAATTTTTTTTATATAAAATTTTATACATACGAATTTGTAGTTGAGAATCTTCAAATTAAAATATTAATTTGTATTTCAAATATTTAAAAACATTGCTTTAATACTTACATAGTAGGTAAATGTTATTTATTTTGCCTTTTAAATTCACATATAAAATATACATATAAATTCACATATAAATTTTAGTTAAATGGAAATTTTGGATTTCAAAATAAAATTTATGGAGACATTGATACACTCTCTGCCTACTTTAAAAGAAATTATAATTTAAAAATTTAACAGACTTTTAATTATATTATTAAAATATGGTTTGATTTTGTTATGAATTGAGATTTAAAGATTTTAGATTAAAATTAAATTTACGTTAATGGTTAAGTTAAATGTATATTATGTTTTTTGATAAAACTTTTGTAAGTCATCACATTTTATAACATTTGAATATTAAATTACGAATTATTGAAAGAAATTGTGTTTTGATTATATTATACATATGTATGTACATACATATGTATACATTTAATATAAATTTATTTCTAATTAGCTTATAATTTTAAAAGTTATGTACATATAAACTTATTGAGAAATTCATTCAATATTGTATTTTTTAATTGTTTGTATATGAGAATTTATAAATGATACTTAGTATCTTAAAATAGAATTTACATTTCGTTTTGTTACATAAATAGATAAATTTGAAGGAATTTACACATTTTTCCAAAAATTTAGTCTACTAATACTTCAGAATTCAACCTTCGTTAAATTTTTAAAAACTAGGTCATTTTTTGAAATACAAAATATGACAATATGAAATGCTTTCAATAATTTAAAACATAATTTTATGAGAACTATAATTACTTGTTTATTATTGCTATTTAATACATAAATATGTATATTAAAATTAGTATTTAACTTCTTTTATTATACACGCATACATTTGTATATTTAAATAAAATTATTTGAAGAAATTCTGTTCTAGAGGTACGTACTTCAAACATAGTATGTTTAACATTTTATAAAAAACATAACATAAAAAACCAAAAACAGCTTGACGTGTTTGTGTAAGGTCTTAATTAGTCTTAAAATTTCGCTTTAAGTTTTCTTTAAATGATTCTTAAAACCACAAGAGCATGTTTTTACTGCAGTACAATATTTTCATTCTTAAATTTTACGAATATGCATTATGCATTTAATTATTGTTAATTTAGATTAAATTTTTATATTTCAAGGGCAAGGCTTCAACATAACTTATTTTTCATCAATAGTTAATCGCAGAATTTAATTACAAAGTATGAATGAATAAGTTTTAATCGTAGACATTTTTTAAATGATTGACATAAAAAAATGCCAACAGTAGCAATATTTTTCTTAATATTTTTTTACAATATGAACAAATATGTATAATTAGCTTTTATTTTTTTCACCTTATCAAACAAACTGTAGTATTAAACCTGACAACAGTAAAAAAATGCTATAGTTTATTAACCGCAAACTGAACCAAAAAGAAAAAAATAAGGTTCAGAGTATCTGTATTTTTGTTTTGTTATTTTAATTTTTAAAAAATATTTTAACATTTTAATATGCTTCAAATTAATATGTAGGTGTGTAAGTAAAAATGTAAGTATGGATGGGAGCAGTTGTGGGATATTCATAGTGAAATAAAATTTAAAATTTATTTTAGGAATAAAAGTAAATTTCGAAATCACGTTTTTCGAAATTTCTTATTTCTAAAAATAAACAAAAAAATTTTAAAATTTAATGAGTAACTTTGAAATTTCTTTTATGATTAGTTGCTATAGGAGCTTTTCGATTTACGAGAAACTTATGAAGAAATATGTACGTATTTTCTCGTTAAAAAAAGAAATTCTAAATTTAAAATAAAAAATCTGATGTGGCCAGCACATAACCGACCGTAAAATGCATTTTCTCATTTTGTCAAATTGTGAAAATTTCTTACCGTGTTCTTGAACACTTGTTTCACAATTTTAAGGACACTACTAAACTTTTAGTTATATGTATGTATGTATGTGCGTATGTATCTACAAAGAAGGAATTCAGCTCTAAGAAGGGATTCACTTTATGCTATCCGAATTCTCTAAAAAGTTCCTCAGATAGTTCCGGTAGCAATGAGTAATCAAGTATTAATTTTCAAGAAAATCCCTCAATTACTTTCTAAAATGTAAGAAATGTAAAAACGGCCCCTAGTGAAAGCTCATTTTAGTACATACATACATATGTAGATATGTACATTTTTTAACACCCGCAGTTGAAATATTAAAATTAAAAGATAGTGGTTAATTATTTCTCTATATATAAATAATTATTTCTCCAACTCACCATTCGGTCAGCAACTGACATTTGATTATCTTGAAAAGTTGGTTTCCAGCATCAGACGAAGCTTATACATATATAAACTTTCAAATTAATTTGTTGAATATTTGCTTAAAAATGATCGGAAATATAAAACAAACCTGCAGTAATGATCCAGTTTCCAAGACCTGACAAATCCCTAAAATTGATCAAACTGTGTCATAACCAAAGTAAACTTGAAAAAAAATTTTCATTAAAATCGGTTCAACTGAAGTTGAGATATATGTAACTACATATTACGTAGATCTGCACATGCACACTGAAAGAGAACCCGATTTTGATCTCTCTGAAAATAGTTTATTTCCTTTTCTAATATAGGAGAAGTACATTTTCACCGAAAAATTAGACATGCGAAATTTGATGGCATCACGTTATCCCTCTTATTATGTATATGCAATGCGGTAAGTACAAAAGTAATCATAACATTTTGTTTTAAAATATTTTCATATAAATTTTATACGCGAACGAGACAAAATCAATAGTTAATATCAAGTGGTTATCTATACAAAAGAAAATCATTCTTATAGTAGTAGGTAGATCCATACATCATGCATTGAATTTTATCGGGAAAAATATAACACACATATATGTATGTGTATATACATAACGTTATGCTACTTCTCTTATCTGCGATAACCATTTGAAAATTTTTTTTAATTAACAAATTGAAAAGATAATTTTCGTTAAAGCAAAGCGACTTACGTTATCTGTATATTAATACTAAAAAGCAGATTCAGCTAAAGCGGTTTAAATTTTAAAACATATTTATGTAGTGCTGAAGAACTACCAGTTTGAAAACTTAATTTAAAAATCTTAGTTTTCATTTACTTATGTGCATATAAAAAAAAAATAAATTCTCAAAGTAAAGATGTTAAAAATGAATGACCCAAAGTATGTTGTACATACTTTGTACTAATATATATTAGGTAGCCATACATTGCCAACAAGGTTACACTTACACAATATGACTACAATTAGCTTTCAGACTCTTAATTAAAATCTAAGGTAAGAATTGAGAGCTGGTTGTTTTGGAAGTGGTATAAGTCCATTTTTTCATATATTAAGATATTTAAGGTTTTGCATTTGAATCAATTACAAAATATTGGCCATAATAACGTTTTTTGTTTGTTTTATGTTTAAGCAGAACTCTATTAAAATTGTGAATGTAACTGTGGATAAAGGGGTGTCTATAGTTCATCAAAATCACCATTAACTTAGTCTTTTTAAAAAGTGGACTTATACCACTTTCAAAAAAATCAGTTCAATTGTTAAAACGCAAGATTTGACAAGGTTATGTAATGTTGTTAATACTTTTATAAAGAAAGGTTTAGTAGGTGGTTAAAACTCTGGAAAAATAAGGTATTGACAGATTTTCAAAAAGTTAAAATTGTAATATAATTTAAGGTGATAAAGTCCTGCGAAACCTTGTTAAAAATGTAAGAAAAAACTCACTGTCACATTTCTGTTTCAGAAATATCCTTCATCCACTGTATGCAGAAAAACACATTTTATTATGCAAGACACAACCCAAAATATTCTAAATTTTCTAAAACAAAAATCACAAATGCTGGTAACAATACCTATTTGAAGTATCTACTTTTTTGACATTTGTTTGTTTATTTACAATTCAATTTTGCTAGTAAAAATAAATATGTAGTTCAGATTATTTTTAGAATTAAAAAATATGAAAAAACTAAGTTAATTCAAACGAAATTATTTTATTGCTTCATAATAATTATCTCCATAAACAAAAGATGTTTAAAGAAGTTTTTAAAGCGTATAAGATTAAGTCTTCAACACCAGATTTTTCTGAAGTTTTAGATTTCGATGAAATTTCTGCAGATGCAAGTATTTAAACCAAGAAAAAATGTATTTTACTCTTTTTTGTAACCCATTTTTATTTAAAAATTTTTAAACTATTTTAGGATGATCGTGTTAGGAGCAAAAAGTTGTCAGATTTAAGCGGATGTATGTTAGGAGTAAAACCATTTCGTGAATGGCAATGCTACGAACTCGTAAATCGAGTAGGACTTCTATACATTAAAAATCCATTTACAAATCAAGGACAAAGGTATTGGCTGGCAAGATGTATTCAAGACTATTCAAAAAGTCCAAATGTTGTTAATTTATCAATCAATAACTTTGACAAAATGGAGATTGAAGATTGGTGGAAATCTTTGCAAAATTGTAAAGATATTGATCGAAAGAAAAAATTAAAGAGTGCGATGAGGTGGTCTACTTTAGGATATCATCATGACTGGGACACAAAAGTTTATTCTGAAAAAAAGAAAAATAAATTTCCAACTGATTTAGCGGATCTTTCATCGTATTTTGCGAAAGCATTAGGATTTGGTTCATATTCTGCTGAAGCTGCAATTGTTAATTATTATCCTATTGGTACAACTTTAGCTGGTCATACCGATCATTCTGAGGCAGACCTAGAAGCACCATTATTTTCTTTTAGGTAATTCAATTACTTGGTAACTTATGAATTAATTTCTAAAATACATATTTAATTTTTTCAGCTTTGGCCAAAAGGCGATATTTTTAATTGGTGGCCCTTCAAAAGAAGAAAAGCCAACAGCGTTATTTTTGAAAAGTGGTGATGTAGTAATAATGTCCAAAGAAAGCAGATTATGTTATCATGCAGTTCCTAGAGTTATGAAATGTAATTATGAGCCTTGGAATAGTATAAATTCAAAAGGTAATTTTAAAAGAATATATGTGTTTTGAATTTACATAATATATATGAAATTTTACAATTCCAGAGTGTATTATAGATGATTTTAATTTTAATGGCTCTGAATTATCCAATAGTAAAAGAATCAAATTAGATAATGAAATAGAAAGTGGGTCGATTAATATGAATTTATGGAATCAGTGTTCTGACGAGGAGTTTTGGTCATCTTTTAATTTATACTTAAAAGATTCTAGAATTAATATAAATGTACGACAAGTTTTAAAAGAAGGACAAAGTTCATTATGATAATCGGATTTTTTTATTAAATTATGTTAATTTTGAAAACAAATTTGTTTTTTTTGTTTTTGGTTAAATTTAGATTTCGTCTACATTCAGTTTATAGTAATTGTGGTTGGATTTTTAAATATAAGAGCTTGTGAGATTTCAAATTTCAAGACCTATGATTTATTTATTTAATTAAGACTATAATTATGTTAAATGCGTTTTTATTTTTGTGGAAGTAAAAATAATGTCATACTAAATGAATTTGCAAAATAATATAGCACAATTTTAAATTATTAAAATCCTCTAAGATACAATAATATAATTTCTTTTCATCAGTTTTTAATTATTTAATTATTTAAATAATTAAAATAAATTAAATTTTTTAATTTATTACTTCTTATGTATTTTATTTCGGATTTATAAAATTCTAATTTTATTTACCGATTTTTAACTTATATTTAAAAAATTATTAATTTATATTAAAAAAATTTGTACAATACTATACGTAATTAAAATCTACGTTTATAATATGTATGTAGTGTTGGTGTTTTATGGAACTGTTTTTTTTTGTTAAATTTACTGATCAGTATTGCAATCGTAAGCTTATAGCTGAGAGTGAATGCTAAAAATGTAATAATTGTAAATGTAGGTAGTTTTTTCGACTTAATTCTATTTCGAAATATATTTCCTTCCATAAATTGGGAAATAGCAAAAAATAGAGCTATAAACTCATTATCTTAGTAGGATTTTTTGATTGTAGTTTGCAATTGCTCTCGTTTGTGTATAAAATTTGTTTTAGCATTTTTTGCTATGTTTTTATACCCTGCACTTCGTGAAGGGTATATTAACTTTGGTATGGAGTTTGTAACTACTTGAAGGAGTCATCTGCGGTATGGACATATATATATATTCTTGCTCAGCGTAAAATTCTGCGTCGATTTAGACATTTCCGTCTGTCCGTCCGTCCGTCCGTCCGTCCGTCCGTCCGTCCGATCGCACGATAACTCAAAAACGAATAATGCAATCAACACCAAACTTTCACCAGTTTTTTCTTTTGTGCCAAGGACGAGCCCTATTGTTATTGGACTAATTCAGACAACGGGTTCGGGTAGCTGCCATACAACTCAAAGAGTTTATTTTAAATATTTCAAAAACTAATAAAGCTATAAATATAAAATTTTGTATACATGTGTCCAATTGTATTCTACACATGCTCTAGAAATTATAATGGGATAGCTGCACCGGTTCGGGTGGCTGCCATACAACTCCAACAGCAAATTCTTTATATTCGGCAAAATAATAAAGTCAGATTCATGAAACTTGGCACTCATGTGTCCAATTATAGGTCAAATATACTTCTGAAGTTTTAGAGGAATTGCTTCACAGGTTCGGGTACCTGCCATACAACTCCAGAAACTAATTTTAAATATTTGGGAAAATAATAAAGTTAGATTCATGAAACTTGGCAGTTGGATGTCCGATTATAGATCAGATATATTTGTGAAGTTTTAGAGGAATTGCTTGACAGGTTCGGGTACCTGCCATACAACTCCAGAAGCTAATTTTAAATATTTGGAAAAATAATAAAGTCAGATTCATGAAACTTGGCAGTTTTGTGTCGAGTTATAGGTCAGATATATTTCTGAAGTTTTAGTGGAATTGCTTGACAAGTTCGAGTAGCTCCCATACAAGTCTAAAAGCTTATTTTAAAAATTTGGAAAAATAATAAAGTTAGATTCATGAAACTTGGCAGTTGGATGTCCGATTATAGATCAGATATATTTGAGAAGTTTTGATGGAATTGTTTGACAGGTTCAGGTACTTGCCATACAACTCCAAAAGCTAATTTTAAATATTTGGAAAAATTATAAAGTCAGATTCATGAAATTTGGCAGTCGGATGTCCAATTATAGGTCAGACATATCCGTGAAGTTTCTATAGAATGACTTCACAGGTTCGAGTAATTGCTACACAATAACGAAAGGTGCAGGGTATAATTCAATCGGTTTATACCGACTGAAACGTTTTTACTTGTTATATTGTAATTTTTGAATGAACTTCATGAATTAAACCACAGTCATGGAAAATTATCAACGGATTTCGTAATTTTTTTTAAATCATATTCTACATCATATTCTAAACCCTGCCTATGTCGGTCCCAAGCCCGAATGGAAAAAGGGGAGGGGGAGGAGTACCAACCTCGTTAAAAAACCTTGGTTTAGCTGGCCCGGCTAATAGTACCTTGTTAGGGCTCCTGGCGAGGGTTACACGTAAAATAGAAGATGCAATGGGAAAAACACATGGATTGAATACCCCAGGTGGTAAGCCAATCAGATTGGTAAATCCACCCTCTAATGAGGTCGGTCTCACGGATTCTGGGGGAGACCAACTATTGCTGAATCAACAATCAACGTTTACTTCAATTGCCAGTTTCTCCGGAAGTAATAAGACTCCAAGAACTCCACCAAAAGTCATAAGAACTCCACCAAATGTCGGTGAACAGAATCAAGAAACTGTGCTGCTGCGTAAAAAGCTCGAAGATTTAGAATCAATCATAAAGATGTTGCGTAACGAAAACAAAGAGTTAAAAATGGAAATCATGGCTTTAAAATCAGCCCAACTTGCAAAAAACAACACTCACCGTGCAAGGAATGACTCATCGGATTCAAGTAGTGATCTAACAGGGTTTGAAACAGATGGAAATCAATATACTATGAATACAAGGAAAGCTAAAAAAAGAAAAGCCAAAAACTCTCCAGAACTCAACAAAGATGTACCAACCATTGTTAAGGAAAGTCCTATAATTGTTTCAGGAAATGGTAGTACTAGTAGAAATGAAAATGATAAAAACCACGGGGGTAATACTAATAAAGTCCAAACTAATAATGGAGCTAGTATTACTAGCAGTGAAAGGGATGATCTCCAGCAAATTAGGGAAAGGAAGCCACCTCCTATAAACCTTGTTGGGATCGAAGATTATAATAAAGTTAAAATGTTGCTAGATTCGAATATAAAAAACTATAAAATTACTTCACTAAACCAAAACGTGTGGAAAGTTAACCCAGACACCCCTGAATCCTATAGGCTACTGGTCAAAAAACTTGAAAGTGAAAAGATCGAGTGGTTTACTTACGAGGATAAAAATGAGAGACCGTTTAGAGTTATGGCCAGGGGTCTCCATTGGAGTTGTGAAAGAAATGAAATCATTGAGGATATCACCAGTCAAGGTCTTAAGATTGTAGACGCTGTAAATATAATTAAAAACGAAAGAGTTGTCGACGAAAGGGGAGAACTTATTCTACAGAAAAAGAAATTGCCTCTTTTCATGCTGACTTTTGATAGAAGTGAAAATATAACAAAAATTTACGAAATAAGGTCAATACTAAATCTTATAGTTAAAATTGAACCTGTTAAGAAAACAAGTAAGGCTATAGTTCAGTGTAAGCGATGCCAGGGATTCAATCATTCGGGTAACTTCTGCAAAAAGGATCCAAAATGCGTCAAATGTGGTAACAGCCATCTCTCTAACAACTGCCCACGCAAAAGAGATGTTCCTGCGTCATGCGCCAACTGTGGAGGCAGCCATCCAGCAAACTATAGGGGCTGTAAAATAGCCAAAGACCTACAGAAAAGGAGAGACCTAGCTTCTAGATCAAGGAATCTTCCAAGTGCAAATAGTCTTCCACAAGCTCATACCAGTAATTCTAATAAAAACTCTAACATAAATAATAATGTTAACAAGATTAATCAAGTCATCAATTCTAATCTAAAAGATAAGCGAACTTATGCTCAGGCTGCGAGCACATATCAAAGATATGATACATCCAACATTGAAAACACTCTAATCCTGATCCTCAACAAAATAGACGAACAGAAAAAATCTGAAATAAATATTTATAATAGAATTAGCTCGATAGAAAATAAATTAAACTCTAGAATTAATAAGAAATGACGAAATCAATCAGAATTATGACATGGAATGCTAATGGCCTTTTACACCACATTCACGAACTTGAAATATTTTTACATGACGAAAAAATTGATGTAGGCTTAATATCTGAGACGCACTTTACAAAGGAAAGCTACTTAAATATAAGAGGATTTACGTGTTACCACACCCAGCATCCGGAAAATAAGGCCAAGGGAGGCACTGCAATAATTATTAAGAATAATATTAGTCACTACGAGGTACCTAAAATTGAAGAAAATCACATGCAAGTCTCATCGGTTGCAATAATGTTTAAAAATAAAGAATTCATAGTGTCAGCTATCTACTGTCCTCCTAAATTCAATCTGAAGGTTGAAGACTATAAATGGCTCTTCAGTAAGCTGGGAGCAAACTTTATAATGGGCGGAGATTTAAATGCCAAAAACACAGCATGGGGCTCGAGAGTTAATTCGCCTAAAGGCAAAGCTCTTTACGAAGCGGCGACTACAATGAACTGCGATTTTCACTCATCTGGTAAACCTACGTATTGGCCTGCAGATCAGAATAGAACCCCAGACCTAATAGATTTCTTTATCTCCAGAGGGATTTCTGGGAACTACATGCATGTTAAAGAAAATCTTGACTTAAGCTCAGATCATACTGCTGTGATACTTACCATAAGCGAATCCGTAATTACTAAACAAGAACCACCTAAGCTATGTAATAAATCAACTAATTGGAACAATGTCAGAAATGAGTTACAAGCCAACATCGAATTAAATACTCCTCTGAGAAATGCTCAACAATTAGAAATCGAAGCAAACAAGTTGGTTACTGACATTCAAAATTCTGTCTGGAATAACACTAATCCTCGCATGATAACCAATAGCAATAATAATTTTATATATCCACTAGAAGTAAGGAAACTAATAAAAGAAAAAAGAAAAGCTAGGAAAAGATGGCAGATTACCAGAGCTCCAGTTGATAAAACGAATTTCAATCGCATGTGCAATAAATTGAAAAAGCTTTTAAAACAAATTAAAAATGAAACAGTTGCAAATACATTAAGTAAACTATCTGTAGATAACAAGAACGATTACTCTCTCTGGAAAACAGTCAAGAGTACAAATAAACCAATAAGTCAAGCTCCACCGATAAGGAAATCTGATAACTCATGGGCTATAACTGAAATTCGTAACGAGATCAAGAAAA